GACTGGATTCGTCTGAAAGAAGAAAGTCATGCACACCTAGGATGGCTTGAGGTTTTAGTAAAACATGGGATGATTTTCATTTTTGGTGAACAAACTAAAATATATTAACACAAAAGATTGATTTAAAGAAAATTATTTATTGATTTAATTTTAGATTTTCCTACTTTTTAAAAGTGTTAGTTCACCAAAAAATGAAATTCTGTCAACATTTACTCACCCTCAAGTTGTTTCAATCCTGAGTTTCATTCTTCTGCTGAACACAGATGAAGATATTTTGGAGAATGCTGGTATCCACAGTTGATTGCAGCCATTGACTTCCATGCCATTTTTCTCATACTACAGAAGTCAATGGCTACCGTCAAATGTTTGATTACCAACATTCTTCAAAATAACTTCTTTTATGTTTATGTTCATGTTTTATTTGTGTAATTAAAATCCTGATCGCTGGACATGATTCCTTGTGTAATTATTTTCAGAAACAGCATATTTTCTGTGTTTAAGTGTGAACTGCAGGATAATCTCACTTGAAGCGCGGTGTGTTTGCTGTGGTCTTAGTGTTGAACTCGGCCACTGGAACGCCGCGGGCCGCCACCTGAGGACCAAACATGGCTGCTGGGTAAACGACGGAGGACGTGCCGACCTGAAGACACGAACACAGAGCAGACAGGACTTCAAAAGAGCATGATTAAAAACTGACGTGTTTATCTCATCAGCAGAAGCTTTCAAAACTAAAACTTTCAGATCAGAGTGAAACTAACCACCAGACAGAGGTCACACGTCTCCAGCTCCTTCTCCACTTTAGTGAGGATCTGAGAGTCCAGAGTCTCTCCAAACCAGACGACATGCGGCCGCAGCAGCCCGTCACAGCCCTTCTCATCACACCTGAGAGAACAGCACCAGATAACAGATGCACTGCGGCTCACACACAATCAGTACTAAAGGAAGAGTTCACCCCAAACTGAACATTTACTGAAAATGTCAGCAGTGCTCAGCAATGGATGCTCTGCAGTGAATGGGTGCCATCAGAATG